TTTCAAAGATGAGGTGTGTTTATAAATAGTATAAGTATACTTTGAAAAAGGTAACAACCCTTTAAAAAAGTCAAAAAATTAAATTGATTTTTATTACTTTAAATTAAAAAAGCATATAAATCTCATTTTGTTTAAATTAAATACATTTCATTAATTCGTTTAAATTAAATTAAAATGCAATTTACTTTTATGTCCTCTTATTTGTTAATTTTTTAACGACAAATAAAATACCATTTGCACTTAATTAAAATTTTAAACTTAAAAATCATAAATAAAATTATCATTAAACTTTATTTCTAAACTACATATTACAGATATATTATTCAGATTATGAAATTTTATAAATTTATTTAAAAAAAAAATAAAAATAATTCATCAAACCTTAGACGGAACAACTTAAAATCTAAAACCTTACTCACACGGATTTAAATTAAACGTATGCAATATTTTACTCATGGTCATAAAACAAGTTCAGTGAAAATGTTTTGCTTTTTAACAATTATTACCTTAATTAATTATTATTGTTACCAACAAGAGAATGTAAGATTATGTCAATTAATACAGGAAGAAGGAGTGCAATAATGAGATATTTTTCATTAATTGTGGCTTAGTAAAATTATAATTGTTGTGACAATGACATACCAGGTACCGCTAGAAGGAAAATATACTAACGGCATTTTGATAATGTAGACGATTTGCGCAATTTATGTATACATTTTGATAAGAATGGATAATTACGAGATGCATACATTAAGATACAGAATTTATAAGGGAAAATGCTGTGCCAGTGGCACAGTGCCATTCAGACAGTAAACATAAAAAATTCCAATTAGAGCGATATATTACTGAATTGAAATAAATCAATAGGGAATATAGTGCTTTTTTATTTTAAAATGTTATTGTTGTCATAAAGTTCTGAAAATGACATTATTCAAGTGATCGCACTCTAAGAAAATATATTGTAATACTTAACAATATAGATTTGTTATGCAAAATATGGTTCATTTAATTATAACAATATACGAAAAATTAGTTTTCTTATATGTACTGTAATCATTTTGTTATAAAAATTTAGTAAAGTTAGATATAGACTATTACAACCATCATGTACGGCTAAACTGTTAGTACTACACTAGATGATTAAAATTATAAGATTATTTGGTTACAATAAAAATATAATGTTGTCACACATTATTAACAATATGCCGTTGTAGTTTTTACTATACAGAAAGTTTATACATACCATACGTATAGTATATTTACCAATATAGAGGGTTATAAGGTACTTGTAACCCTACGCATATGATTATTATAACTAAATAAATTATTGTTTTATGCAACAACAAAAATATAGTTAAAGTGACAATAAAACTCATACAATATAAACATGGTTAACATAACAGCATATATGACTGTGCCTATACTAATCAGAATATTCGATTAAAATAACCATTGTTTTTTCTCAAAAAAACGTGCGTCTACGTTTCTCCTATTGTATACAAGACAAAATATTCTTAGCCAAATTTTAATACATCATTTACCTTTGGTTTATTCTTAAAATAATAGATAACCCAACCCTTCTTGGACGCGTTTGATATACATAGGTATACTAATGTACATTAAACTCACCAAAGCCTAAATTGTTTTAAGTCGACATGAGCGAAATTACATAATATATCACTTTTTCTTTTCACAATGCCCGCTTTTTAGTATGACAAGGAAGTTGTCAAAATTAAAACCAAAACCAAAAACCAAAATTTTCAAGTTCACAATTATTAAAAACTATTGTAATTTACTAAACTAAACTAAATTTATGGTCTAGTAATAATCATAGTCAATTAAAAAAATCTATTTAATTCATGGTCATAAACTGTTGCAACCATATATTACTAAAATAATGTAAAAAACCGCAAACATGAAACAAATTCTTAACTGTACTAAGTAGGTAGTATAAACATTTCTTAATGCGTTAAAATAAAAACCCATATCTATTACTGACTATTAATTTAATATTTTAAATTAAGTCGCTTGTGACGAGATAATTGTGTGTGTGTGAACACTTTAGTTTCAATGAACCTACTTTAAGCATTAGAGGTCAGTACTTTTATAAAGATAAAAATAGTTTTTTGAGATGAAAAGTAAATTTAAGATTTACTTATGGTTGTTAGTGGTTTAGAAAATTGCTTTTATAATTAATTTGATTTATGTTTTTAGTCCACATTTTTTATGTTTTAAAATATATATACACTTCGCGTCAAATTTAACGCACCACTAAAAATTTGCCACAATTTTAAAGTTGATTTTCTCGCGAACAGTCAACCGAATTTAATAGTTTTTGTTTAAAATTGTAGGTTTATTCTTTGGTTATGACGCCTTTATTAAAATATTTGTTCAAATTTACATTTTGAGTATATACAAGGTGCAAGAGTAATAATAAGTTTTTTTCTGTAAATTTGAAACGCCCTGTGGGTCGTACCAGCTACAACAGCATATTTCTTTTATAATCAAACTATAGCCCCATCTTCTCTTAACATTTTGTTTTTTATATCACCGCATTATCTTTATTTTTAAAAGAAATATACTGTTAAATATTAAAGAACTCCAGTTTAATAAAAAAATGTAAAAAGAACGATTGTAACAATAACAATAAAAATATGAACAAAATCAATACAAACCAAAATTAAAGAATATAAATATCGCGTATTTTTGCCTCTACTTCTAATTACGGCTTCACATAGACGGCTCATACTCGAAACTAGATGTCTAATCTCGCCTTAATCAATGACATTCCATATTTCTCGTAGCATATTTGCTACAAGGGAGGTAGGCAAGGAATAAAGATTTCTTAGTCGTCTACCCATATTATCCCAAAAATGCTCAATGGTATTGAGATCCGGAATATTTCCAGGCCAGTCCAAAGTTTCAACACCCACCTCATGTAAACTTTGAAATTGTGGAAAATTTTTAGTGGAGCGAAGTGTATTATGTTCTAAAAGTGATTTAATAAAAGTTTATAGTAAGTCTCAATTAACCAAACTTGCTGAAATCTATAGTTTGATTTAATCATTTGAAATTAGTAAAGCAAGCTGTTTTTAGCATAATAAGAAAGTAAAAAAAAATCCATAGTATTATACAATTCCAAAAAATAAACATAAGTGGAAATGAAAGATCATATTTTTAATAAATTTTTATAAAAACGTATAGTCTGTGTAAAAACAAGTAAAATGAATGTAGAGGAGTTTGCGAGTTTGGCTTGTATAACGGAGCTATAAATAATTAAATGTTTATAAAATAAATTTCTGTAAATTCCCATCCAATTTTCGAATAATTTTAAAAAATCACCTGCGTTTTATTCTCGGGCAAAGGGGCAGAACTTACTGCATCTAGTCTCAACCGCGTGGATAAAAATACCAAAAAGCCACTGCCATAAGTCACAGCTTGTCAATGTAGGAGTAGATATTAGTATATTTAGTATTGTTAACATATTACGTAAGAAACTAACAAATTGTGTTAACAATGAATATTTCTTATGAAACGCTATTCAATTAAATGCAATAATAAGAGCTTTAATGATCCGTAATTAAAATAAAACGTTAATTATCTTAATTATTTGTTTTAATATTTTTTTGAATGCACTTCTTTATGCCGTTCAAAATCCTTGGAGTATTGAGAAAAAAAAACTGTAAATTATTCCCGTCGGGATATGTTACCATAAATTGGCAAAAAGATGCGATGAAAAACCTTGAAAATCTATTTAGACGTCGTAATTTTTAATTAGGATCATTAAAATTTGTATTAATTAGAATTCATTCAACAACAAAACAATTAATTAAATGGATTAATGACCATTAGTATGTAGATTATGGGATTATTAAAAAAGTCAACTACAACCAAATTGTTTTTATAAACCGTCCCATCAAATTGTAAAGACTGTATTTAACTTTATTTTTATTTTATATTACGTACATACAATATTTTGTCTTAGCAATGCGTAGGTATAATGGAAATTATATTTTCAATGAAATTAAACGTATGTAATTGTAAAAATAATAGGTATAATTTGTATGGAATTAAGTAAGAGGTACTGATTTTAAATTGCCTCTTGGAGGTCAAGTTCTTTAAAAAGATATGAATTTGCATAACTAAGTTAAAATACCAACTTTTATTCGAAGAAGGAAGCAAAATCAAAATTTATTACTATTCTTTAATAATTATCCATTAATGTAGTAAAAATTATTATTCATAGTGTAAGTAAATTAGTTTTATTTATGCCTATATAATTATAAATTATAATTTATAATTGCTATTATTCTTAAATTCAATTGTGTTCTAATTTAATAAAATAATTGACATTTCAAAAATTCCAATTGCTTCATTTCATCAAAACAATAAATTATTTGTATTGGGTAATGTGACATTATCCTTGATAGTATCTAAAGTCAAGACTTTATTTAAAGGCAGTATATTGCTTAATATATCAAGATCAACGTCATTGCACTTGTTGGTTTTCTTGGGTACCTACATTTGCAACATGTATTTTATGTGCTTTTATGGATATACTTAAGATGCCATTAAAATTTTAACTTATGGTAAAATTTACTTGGGTAAAATTAACTTAACTTAATTAAGTTATAAAAAACTCAACTTTAGTATTCAAGAGTTAAAAAATCTTATCATTATTTATTTTACTAAAGAAACTGTGCAAAAAAATGCTTATGAGGTACCTATTTCAGTAAAAAGAGGTGCTCTTCCATCAAGGGGTCGGCCATATAAAACCGATAATTTCTTATTATAACTAAAAATCCGTATAAATATCCATATTAAACTAAATAATTAAAAACTTATGTAATATTTTATTAAGCTTAAAAAAGAATGTAAGAATTGTAAAAAAAAAACTTACTCATATATCGCTTACTACTTGTTTTTGCATAATGCTTCAAATGTAAATAACCAAGTTTAAAAAGTTTTAAATATAAAAAATGTTTTTATTATATTTTTAGGATAGCACTTGCCATACCTACAGGAAAAGATGGCCCTGATAGATGTCATATGTATGATGTAAACTACAAGGAAATTTTAATAAATGGTACCACAAAACCTAACGAAAAATGGTCCATCATCCCTTGTAGAAGTGGGTGGGAATATAATATGACTGAAGTGCCATATTCATCGATTGCCACTGAAGTAAGTTATTAAAATAGGCATAAAAAGTTAAAAAAACCTTTAAGGACTATTATAGTAACAGAAACAGTAGTAACAACTCTAAATTAATCGACTTTACCATGTAATGTAAAATAGTACATGTATTTATGTATCAAGTTTAATAAACGCCATTTTAGTCAAGAATTTAAATTAGGAACAACCGAACTTTTGAGCGAATGTTTAATTAAATGAGTGTCTAGAAAAGTTTATAAACGAATTGCATACCATACTTTTTCTACAACAAATACTTATTATTATGTAAAAATAATTTAATTTAAATATGTGTTTAGAGCGACATCCATTCAAAAATAGAGTAACTGTAAAAATGGAAAGTTGTATTACCGGCGGCATATGTCAAATTTTCTATAAATCTAAATTTATCCCTTAAAAATGGTCTAACAACAGTTAAAACAGTGACATATTTTAGGAAGGGCGACAGGGGTGATCGGTCGATTTAAGTTATTACACTGTTTAAAATATCTGTGGTGTAAAGAGTACCTAATCGTAAAATGGTGTCAAAATCCAACACCAAGTGGTGTTAATATAAACACCATGAATTATGGTTCCTGGTTGCATAGTGTGTACTGATCGCGGCAAAGGCGGTGTGGATCACGTGATGTTCTTAAATCTCGCCTCAGTTGACTTACATAAAGAGTATATAAGCTCAGGTAGTCCTTTGCTTTGGTGTGACACTACAAGTTGTTCGATACTAAAGAGACCTTAAATAGGTGGAAACAGCTGTCAATACTTGAAGTATTTTAAGTTGGTGGAACGCACTAAAAACATTATTTCTAGCGAGTTAAAGGTTCAATTTTCTGGAATAATACCACTGGTAATATACTTGTAATGCGTCAAGGAACTTCCTGTTTCCTTTTTTTTTCCTTTTTTTCTATGTAGTATGATTTAATTTGACCAAAAACACATAATATTTAACACTAAAAAGGAGTTCAATTTACACCAGGTATACCTAATAATAATAATAATAATTTTATAAAATTTATTTTAATACTGTGTGAAAGTTAAATTTACACCATTTTAGTATTTGAATTTACACTGGACCAACGAACCATATTTAACACCATTTTGTTTGTATTGATATAGACCATGTATGGTGTTAATTTGGTGTTAAAATGGTCATGAAATTTTGAACAGTGTAAGGATAAACTTCAAAAACCTTTTTTTTTTTACAAAAACCAGCTCAAATTAGGCTCCTTTTTTAATTCTGCGAGCGTCTGCAATGCTGTAGCTTTTTCTATTTTCGCTCCCCTTAAACCGTCCCTGCGTTTAAATCCCATATAGAAGCAGTTTTTCATAGTAAAAGTATAGATAATGTTTTATGGGAACTCCACGGTGGAGCCTCCACCCGAAATTTTGAATGCTTTATCAGTTAAATCTAGTTTACTGTAGGCTAAACACAGTGCTACCCTGCATTTTTTAAGTTTTAAAAGATGTCCACCAATTTTTTTTTTCAAATTAATATAATAGGTTTATTGCTAATTAAAAATAACTATTACTAAAAATCGGAACAGATCCTTTTGTTATTTTTTTCACTGGAAACTATTTTTTTTCAAAATATATTTTGATATATCGATATTTTTTTATTTCTAAATAAAAAAAATTAATTTACTGCATTAAAGTATGCTATGATTTTATTGTAGTGCATCATTAATTAATTATCTAGTATCCCGCGTTATGTCAGCCTACAAAAACAAAGCGCTTGAACTGTCACATTTATAAGCAACTGTGGTTTTTGTGGTTTGGATTCCAACTTACTATAATGAAATATTTCTACTTAATAATAGTTTATTTGGAAAGAAAAATTCAAATTATAAATTATATTTGCGTAACGTACTGTTGTCGTGTATCGTACTGTGCTTATTATTGTTTACAAACAGAAAAAGTAACATATAGACCCTGTAATATAAACAGTTGCCATAATAGTATTTTTTAATATTTTGAAAAAATCGGTTTTTGACAGGTCCTATTTTTTTACGTAATAAACACAATTTCCTTCGTAAAAAAATGCTGTGTAGAAAATAATTAACATAATGTTATTTATCGTTCTGAGGTTGTTTATATTTTAAGTTTTATTTTAAATAGTCATATTTTGACCTCAGAAACCTATTCTTAAAGTATGATCTACATGTATATATAAATTGTATGTCCGAATATGCCCTATAATAGAACCCTAGCACAAATATATTTTTAATAGGTGATTTTAAGGATCACAAATCAATAAATATTTTGAATTTTTATCACGCTAGCCTTCTAATTTATTAACTCTAATTTACCTTTATGGCGTCATAAATGAAATATCAACATAAACCGTAAATAAATTTAAATTTCTTTTAAAATAGTGCCATAGGAATATGTTTTTAAAAATATATTTTAAATATTTCATTATATTATTATGCTTAAAGAAACGTTTTTGGTAAATATTATAAATTATAAATTTATTGAATCATTCAATTTGAATGTAAAAACCTCAATTCAGACAATTTATTAAATCTACCCACTGTTTTTCAATTAAATCCCTTAACGACTAAAAAACTCTTAAAATATCTTTTTTATTTCCAGCAAAACTGGGTTTGCGAAAATTCCGCGCTTCCTCACACGGCTCAATCGATCTTCTTCTGCGGTGCTATATTAGGTGGACTGGTGTTCGGGTGGATCGCCGACCGTATGGGCAGAATTCCGGCCCTCGTCGGCACAAACATTGCCGGACTAATTGGAGGCATCGCAACCGCTTTTTGCACGTCCTTTTGGTCTTTCTGCGTATGTCGCTTTCTGGTCGGAATGGCATTCGATAATTGTTTTACTATGATGTATATTTTGGGTAAGTAAATAATATTTAGTTAAAAACTATTAAATCAAATTACATATTATAATATACTATATTATTATACTTTTGTATTATTTTTTATGAACATTATAAATACAATATATCTCACTATCAACTAAAAACTACAGAAACGGCAAGTTTTTATTAAAATTTTGCATTTAGAACAAAACAAGCATTTTTGGATAATTAAGCTGACATACATCTGATAAAAGAATAAATATAGAGCAAAACAACCTCTTTAAAAGTAAATACAAAAAATGGAAAGTTAAAAAATGTTTGGTCTCAGGAAAGCAATATTGGAAGTTTATTTTATTGGGTTTTATTAAGTATCTAGCAGTATCCCGTTGTTTTTATACTGATTTATTAACTTATAAGCATATCTCGCATATGTGCAATAAATAAGTAAAAAAAATATTTACGATATAAAACGAGAATTTAAATTTAAAGAGGATTTATTTAATTTTTACCATATATTTATTCATGGTTTTTAAGGATCTGCTCCGTGTTGTCGGTTTTTTGTTCTTAAAAGAACCAGACATACGTTTTGGTACAATCTCGTGTACCATCTTCAGGAATTATCTGCTGGACTGCTGTTGCTATTCTGCTGCGAGTTAAACGTGGAGTGAGCTCCGTTGCCGCTTATCGTTGTATATATATATATATATATATATATATATATGTATATATTAGGGAGCTTTTTTTCACGAATATTTTTATTTTTTCGCTCCCAATTCAAAATCTTGTTGAAAATGTTCAAAAAAAATTCCCTGAAAATTTGAGCCCTTAATATTAACTCAAAGAACTCTACCTTACTTTAAAGAGAAAAGATATATCTAACCTAAAAATTGATATAACGAGGTGTATAATAGAGAACTGAAACAATCAAGCATAATTATAATTAAAATATCATTTTGTATGTTATACACTAGAGTGTCTCAAAAAAACCGACTATTTTCTTTTTTTCAAAGAACATTGAAAATTCGTCAGAGTATCTCTAGAAAATGACCCTGTGAAAGTAAGAGCTCTTAATATTAATATTTAGATGTGACGTTTTGTAATTTTCTATTTCCCATTTAAATAACATGGGAAATTTTTATTTTCAAATTTGGAATTTTGTAACGTGATAACGAGCTACTTTATAAGTATGACGAAATTACTCCTTATAGGAAATTTAATGCTCTACAAAAAAGGTCTGATTGACTTTTTGCGTAAGTCAAGCCGTTTCAAAGATATCGAGCCTCAAACTTCAGAATGTTGAAAATTATGCTTTTTTTTTCTTAAATACAAAAAAATCAGGAGATAACAGAAGAAAATTGATATAAAGTGAAATGGACTATTAACCTGACTATATAAACAGTAAATATATAATTAATACATAATGTAAATAAATGTATAGTAAACTTCTACCAAATTAGGTAAGTGAATATTTTTTTCTAAAAATCAATAAAAATTATCATTTATCAAATTATTAAGAATTTTAGATCTGCATTCCATCAAATATATGCATATATTTATTCTCAAGTTAATAATTTTGGGTCTTAAATACATATAAATTGATTTTTTTGTATTTAAGAAAAACAATAATGGTAATTTTAAACATTCTGAAGTTTGAGGCTCAATATCTTTGAAACGGCTTGACTTACGCAAAAAGTCAATCATACCTTTTTTGTAGAGCATTAAATTTCCTATAAGGAGTAATTTCGTCATACTTATAAAGTAGCTCATTATCACGTTACAAAATTCCAAATTTGAAAATAAAAATTTCCCATGTTATTTAAATGGGAAATATTATTTTATATTGGTACCGATATGTAGATGACATACTTACATGATTTACAGGGACTACAAGACAGTTAATTATTTTCTTAAATTTTATGAATAATATTCATCCGAACATTAAATTCACAATGAAAGTAGAACAAAATAAACAAATTAACTTCTTCTTAGACCTGACTAACCAAAATAACAAAGGTATCCATTCATTTAAAAAGTTACACAAACCCAGTCACACAGATACAGTTATAATTCTTCCTTATACCCGTTCCCACACAAAATGGCAGCTTTTAATTCTATGATTCACAGACTCGTAAATGTACCATTATCTGAAATAGATTTCAAATCGAACTAAATTTAATAAAACAAAAATCTGTTAATAATGGATACAGTTAATTGATAACATTTATAATAAAAATATACATAAAATAGCAATCAACCAAATATTCCCAATAACTAAGAAACCTATGAATACATACATACAACACTTTGGTACTAATTTCTTAAACAAAAACAACATAAAATTCACATTTAAATCCAACAACAATTTAAGAAATTTCATTAAAAATAATAGAGATAAGACAAGGAAAAATATTAAATCCGTTTAGCAATTAACTTACATATATGTTTTGTGGTTTATAAATGATTTTCTATGTTCGTTTATTTAAGTTATAAAGCTACGACCTATTTGTCCTATAGGACAAATAGGTCGTAGCTTTATAACTTGAATAAACGAACATAGGAAATCATTTATAAACCACAAAACAGATTCCACCTTTGCAAACCATCTTATAAATGACAACCATAATTTTAATTCTTTAAAATCTTACATATAGAAAACAAAGGTTGAAACTGAATTTATTGAAAACTGACTTTATTCTCAATGACCAAATAGAAACCAATAATTCCTTGCTATGAAACTTATTTTAATAAATTCAAAAAGTTTAGTGTTATATAACTATAAAGATTATAGGGCTATCCCCTATAATTGTATAACGCTAATTTAATTTATCCTTAATATGGTACTAACAATATTACCGGTAAAACCATAATTAGAAAATTAATATTAAATTGTATACGATCTGAAGATGCTTCTGTGTAGCGAAACAATTGTTATATTTAAATAAAATAGTGAAACTTTTAAACAGTGTAGTTTATATTAACATAATAACAACATGGAGTTTCATCAAGTAAAAGTCGAAACAATTAATTATTTAAACTATTTGTATTCCAATTTAAAGTAGGGACTTTTGGGTTTGGAGCATAGTACTATAAAATTGCTTTATAAGTTTTTGACTTAAAATAATAATTAATAGTTTACATACGACAATTAATACATCATAAAAATGTACTAGTGAACTTTTTAATTATTATTAATACAACAAATTTGTAAGAAACAATTTATTAGAACATTAAATTTACTATAAAGTTGCTATTTAACTTTTTGACCTAAAAACCCAGAAAACACGTAATTGTTAAAAATTTCCATTTTCTAAGTCCTTCACCGAATATCGGAAATAAAAAAAATCAAATTCTATCGATTCCTTTTCTAGATATTTTAAGTTGAAGTGGCAACAGCTCATTTCGTTTTTTACGCAATCAGCACCATCCGGAGAGGCACGTAAATAGAAAATTCGTTTTGGAATTGGTGGCAAGAAACAGTATCAGTAGCGAACAAAATACGGATCTTTGGAACTAAACGTGAATGTCAGGAATGATGCTGCCGAGGTAGGAGTCTTTGGACAAGTTGTTGCTGACCCAACTTTGAGCACAAGAAAATTATATACTGTTTGGCATTCTATCCTTATTCTTTTCACGCGGGTATTGAACAACAACGCGGTCGGACTTGGATTTGCAAGCACTGTATGGTAACTTACATTTCAAGAACGATCATTTAACAATTCCTCAAATCTCATAAATTTCGTCTAAGATTCCATAGTCCATGAATTAAATGAGGATGATTTTGACCAGCGACTGAAGTTTTGCGAAACTATGACTAAACGAATAGCTAAGGTTGAAAATTTGATTTTTAACATCTGTTTTTACGGTTTTTTTTTAACTCAACTGTCAATCGCCATATTTGTCGTTACTGGTCAGATGCAAATCCCAGGAAGTCCACACTTAAACTCCTCAAAAACTGAATGTCTGGGCAAGTATTTTTGAAGATCGTCTGGTTGGAACCATTTTTCTTGATGGTAACCTGACAGGAGGAACGTATTTAGAATTACTGGAGGATGTAGTATATTTCTTACTAGTCGATATTGTTAAAAATAATAGCTACTTAAAAGACTATTAGGACACCTCCACACTATGCACTGCATGGACAATGGATTGGCCGAAGAGGAGCTCTGGATTGTCCGGCCAGAGTAAAATTTACAACGTATTGTGGATAAATGCCCTTAAATGACTCCCTAAATACTTCAAATTGTTAAAAGGCGTTTTAAACAAAATTTATATTTTTGGAGGGAGACTTTTTTAATAATAATAATAATAATAAGAACTTTTTTATTTTAATAAGAAACGAAGTGTGCCGTTTTAAATTTAACTTAAAATATCTCGAAAACAAATCAACGCAATTTGATTTTTATTATTCCCGATACTCAGTGGAGCAAGACCTTTTAAATTAGTTACCACTTGCCCTATCATGACTATTAAAATTTTAGGGGTTGTGTCTAGGGTTGGGACAGTTGAAATTTTCAAATGAAAATTTCAACTTTGAAAGTTTCAAACTTGAAATATTTCATTTAGTTGGAAAAGTGAAATTTTTAAAAATTTCAAGTGAAATTTTCAATCCGAAAATTTCAACATTGCCTGTGAAAGTTTCAGAAATTTCATTGAAAGTTTCGCAATTTACTAAAAATTTCGCATAAATTTTACATGAACCTGGGACCTGGTTCCCGGTCACTTTCCCGAATGCAATTTCCCGACTGACCAATTTCCCGATAGACCATTTTCCTGACAAACCATTTTCCCGTCGACGTTTTTCCCGACAGCACTCTTCCCGACAGACTATGTTCACGACAAAAATTTTATTATCCAGTTAAGAAACGTTTTTCCCGATAGCCCTTTTCCCGAAAGATTATGTTCACGACAAAAGTTTTATTATCTAGTAAAGAAAAACATAGCTGGTCAAAAATGATTTCGGTATCCGCTTGTTCCTTCTGGAAGTCTGTAAGGGCCAATGGGGCGGGGTCGGTTGGGTTGGGTTGTTGGGTTTGGGT